CAATTTGGAAGCCTACCAGTGCCTCAATCATCGTAATAAAATAAATTCTAAATACCTATATATTTTGGCATTTGATTTTGACTTTTTAATCATAGAAAATCAGAGCTCCCCCTGTCCCCTTCACTCACCAGGATATGGGTCCAGCTGCAGCTCCGCCCCCCGCCCTCCCTTCTTTGTGGTGCTTTGATATGCCAGTGTCCCATGGGCCAGTGCCCATGCTGTTGCCTCTCACTCCAAAGCCTTGGATAGAGGGCTGGACTAAATGACCTTGTGAGGCCAAGGTGGAGATGGAACTGGGACTAGCAACCTGGATCAAGGATAACAAGAAATCGTTTTTTTAATACATAGCAGGTAAAAAGAAGTTTCCGGGTAATGTGGGGCCTCTGCAAGACACGCTAGGAGATCTGGTCATCGCACCAGACGACAAAGCTAACCTATTTAACAATTTCTTTGCCTCCATTTTTCTGAGCAGGTACCAGGTCATCCCCCCCACTGATGGTCCCGGAGGAGGCGCAGCCAGGCCCAGGGTCAGTGAGGACCTAGTCAGGGAACTTCTGGTGGGACTGGACGTGTTCAAATCAGCAGGTCCTGATGATCTCCACCCCAGAGTGCTGAGGGAATTAGCAGAGGTCATTGCGCGACCCCTGGCACGGCTTTACAAGCACTCATGGTGCTCTGGCAAGGTGTCAGAGGACTGGAAAAGGGCCAATGTGGTCCCCATTTTCAAAAAAGGGAGGAAGGAGGACCCAGGAAATTATAGGCCTGTTAGTCTTACGTCAGTCCCGGGGAAGCTCTTTGAGAAAATTATCCAGGTGCATATCTACGAGGGACCAGCAGGGGAGATTCAACATGGGTTCATGAGAGGCAGGTCCTGCCAGACCAACCTGGTGGCCTTCTATGACCAGGTCACAAAATCCTTCGATGAAGGTGTCGCGGTGGAAATAGTCTTTCTTGATTTTAGGAAGACCTTCAACACTGTCTCTCACCCCATTCTCATAAAAAAGATTCTGAGATTGCGGTGTCAATGCCTACACAGTCAGATGGGTCACCAATTAGCTGGAGGGCCGCACCCAGAGAGTGGTGGTGGATGGGTCATTTTTGACCTGGAGGGATGTGAGCAGTGGGATCCCCCAGGGCTTGGTCCTCAGGCCCGCACTGTTCAACATCTTCATCAGCCACTTGGACGAGGGGGGGGAAAGCGCCTTGTTCGAATTCGCAGATGACACTAAGATGTGGGGAGAAGTGGGCATGGTAGAATGGATGGATGGGTTGCAATTGGATCTGGACGGGTTACGGGGGTGGGCGGATGAGAATAAGATGGGATTCAATACTGACAAGTGCAAGGTATTGCACCTAGGGAGAAAGAACCAGCAGCATACCTACAGGACTCATTACAGACTCCAAGATGAACAAGGGCCACCAATGTGGGGATGCAGTCAGGAAGGCTAACCACACCTTGTCATGCATCCACAGATGCATCATGAGGAGGTCCAAGGAGGTGATCACACCCTGCTCTGCCTCCCTGCAGCAGCCAGGGCAGCTCCAGGCTCCCTCTGGGTGCTATCCCAGGAGCTGGAAGAAAGCATGGGACCAGGAGACAGCTGTCTCCTGGCCCCATACACATTTGCAGGTAACAAATTAACCCTGCAGTTGACTAATTGACTGTGCAGTAAGTGTCCTCATATGTAGACAACGACACATTACTGTGCAGTTAGTCAATTGTGCAGTAAAGCATCTGAGGTAGATGTGCCCAGCCAGACTACTGATTTTAAGTAGAGAGACCTGAAAACTACTGCAATCTGTTCCAGTTTCTAGTGACCCTGTGGAATCAATACAGCAGCTGAGGGCACTAGAGTTCATGATAGCTACAGCTGTACCTTATTTTCCTGAGTCAGGTCATTATATTAGTTAGAAGGAGGATAACTGGATGATGACTAGATATTTCAGTTCATTGGCCAAACTGAAAAGCTGGGAAAGAGCTTAATACAGATCCTGGATCCTTACCCTATCCTCTGATGTGCCTATGTTTCCTCACAGCTTAGTATCATCTGCAAAACTTAATCATTGAGCTTTCCACTCTCTCATCCAAGTCATTAATAAATATGTTAAGGAGCACAGGTCCAAGCACAGATCCCCGGGGGTCACCACTGGAGATGGCCCTCCAGGATGAGGCCATCCCATCGATTACAACTCTCTGGGGTCAGCCTCTAAGCCAGTTGTCCACCCACCTCATTGTAGACTGGTCCAGCTCAACACCCTCCAATTCAGTTGAGAGAATCTCGTGGGAAACAGAATCAAAGGCTTTACTGAAGTCTAAGTAAATGACATCAACTTCATGTTCCTTGTCCAGATGGTTAGTTACCTGGTCATAGAAGGACACCAGGTTTGTCGTGCATGATCTACCCCCCAGGTGCCCCTCGGCTGAGCTGGGAGAATAAAACTTGCTTTGGGAGTCTGGAGTCAGACATCCGGATGACATGGCAGACCTAATTAGATTTGTCAGATAATCACCACCACAGTACTCATGGTGTTTGCTTGCAGGAGAATGCTAACATTGGTGCATCTGTTGGTGGATCTGGATCTGGAGCTGGGGACTGTTCATTTGGAGCTTCTTGGTGGAGAACCTTAGTCTTCTGAATGTTAAGTGTCAGTCACACTTTCTTGTAGTCCTCAGTAAAGAAGTCAACGATTGCCTGAAAGTCTGCTTTTGAGTACAATAGCATCACCAGCATACCAGAGATTGAGGTCAGGGCTGTCTTGGTTTTGGGTTGGATTTGGCCGAGGTTAAACAGCTTACCACCCACTTGGTAGTTTAGCTCCACTGTGGCTGTAAGCTTGTTGGTGGGCAGATGTAACATCACAGCAAGGAATATTGAGAAAAGTGTTGGACAGATGATATGGCTTAGCTCTTGTTTTAACCTGAAAGGGATCTATGATAGTTCCATTACTGAGAACCACTGCTTACATACCATCATGGAGCATGCAGAGGGGTGACACATTTTGGTGGCATCAAGAGTCAGTGCATACATGCTGATGATAGTGGTATATTGGCTCCCCAACAGTTTAAGAGGGAGAGTCATGAGGTACTCATTAATTCCAACAGGGAAATCATTGAGCTGGTTTATGAGTTCATTCTTAATGGCAAAACCGACTCTGTGAAGTTGGCATTCTCCTTCCTGTTTAACCTCCCAAAAGAAGGTATGGTTGTCTGCATGTTCCTTGAGCTGCCCATATCCTGCTTGCTGGGTGTTGCTTGGTGCAGCTACATCAGTGTTGTGCCACCTATGTTCTCAGGCCACGATGCAGTGCAATGCTCTGGGTGTTCTCTATTAGGGTTGTCCATGAGGGCCCTGATGGTCCAGGCTCCAAAATCAATGGTGTGTCTTTTCTGGTATTTTTTGACCACAGTAAAGGTGATTTCACTGGACACAGTTATCCAGTCAAGAAGAAATACAGAATAATGTATTAGACAGGCTATGTTTAGAGCACCTTTTCTAGCTCCCTGTCCACATGGGGTGAGCAAGGTGGATCCTGAAGAGAGCTGCTCAGTGATAGTTTGTTACCTGTCAATTTTGTGTTCTGGGGACCCCTTGAGCAGTACTCAGCCTGTCTGACTCATGAAGGACTCTTTCACAGTTCGCCACCCGGCACACTGAC